GGACTACATGCACCTGCCACGACTCTCGGACAAGGTTTCACTCTGGCTCTGGCTGGTCTTGAACCTGTAAGCTCAGGCAATGAACTTAGGAGACCTGACTCAGTCTCCTAAGTGTTAGGGTTACGGGCATGATCCACTGTGCCCAGCTCTTTTGGGCTTTTTTTAATGCCTACTTATTATAGCCTGAGCCACACTTCTTTTTACCTTCTTTGTTCAACTTTTCTTTCATCGTGACATCATTAGGTTCCTCCTTTTTTTAAACTAATTTTTTGGCATTTGGAGTTAAAATTATCACTTTTATCTATTAAAATTTAGAAATTTAAATTCTCAGCCTCCTCACTCCAAACACACACTCTGTCTTCTATGTCCTTCTCCGAACTTGGTAGGTCTTTTATATCTAGATTGTCATTTTATTCATTTGACATTTATTCCATGCTTTAAAAAAGTTAAGTGACTTTTTCATATAGACTCTGAAGCATTAAGCTGTGTTTTACTCTAAAACCATTGGTTTGAATCTTTGGGGAATCATCTCTTGGAGATGACATCCATTTGAAACTTCATTGGTGATTAATATAGGGTGTCCCAAAAGTAACCATACATACATAGGAAAAATGGGAAATTGTAGCTAAATATACCTTTATTTACAAAATATTTCTTTACATGTTGGTATAAAAATACAAGTCTAAAATATATGAGTGTGAATTTTCCTATGTATGGAGATCTTTGGGACACTATGTACTGTCTTGACAATGGAATATGTAGAGTTTGTAGATTCTGTTCAGTATTTTTGACTGAATCCTTTATCATTTTGAAGCTTCTTTTATTTTGGTCTTGTGTCTAGGATAGAGTCTCTCTCACTGTTCTTTCTGAACATTTTTTCAACCGTTTCGATAGAAGTAACCTGAAAATCTTACCAACGTTGAAATTAGAAATCTGAGAGTTAGGTAGGGGAAAAGACTTTCTTGTTGGTTGCTTCAGAATTACCCCTTTGGCTGTCTATATCTCATTTGGAATTTATTTCTTTTACAGGTCTAGGGTTGCAGCTATGAAGTATTGATGTGCTTCTGGTAGGGTTATCGCTTGGAAAAAGGTTTTAGGTTTTGATCCACATTTTTTTGTTCTAATTTGATTTGCATGTAACAGTAAAGGTTTGCTTTGGATTTTTGTTGGGCTTAGCTGTCCTGTTCTTACTTACTTATTTTAAAAATAATTCTACATTGTTATGGGCTTTCTGAGAGTTTTAAACTCAGATTTGATCCTCTAGTTGTTTTCTTTGGGATTGTGGTTGCTCTGATTTGTGTTGGGTACCATTTTTTTCAGATCAGAAGCATTTTGTTTGGCCTTTGCACTCAGTAATTATGGTCGTGTTGCCCCCTCACCATGCGATTTTTTTTCTTGCATGTTGATATCTTTCCCTAATCTTCTGTTTTAGATTTTGATGTTTTCACTTAGCTTTTGTGTTTCTCCTGTCACTAGTCTAGAAAGCATGCCTACTGAACTAATGGTTGGATGCATCTTTTATGGCTGCCTTGTATTGCTGTGGTGAATTTCTAATATTATCTAAATGTTATTTCCAAATGTTAATGTTTAGACAGTCTAATTTCACAAATGTTCTTTGCTAGTGAGACAGAGCCCTTCCCAACATCTCTAGTTTTTCTGTTCCCACTTAATTTTGCCAGAAGTTTTAAATTGTGACCCTCAACAAAATATGTCTATTTTTATTCTTGATCCTTTGTCTTTCTCTTCCTCCTGGCCTCATTAGTAATTGCTCTAGGAACATGAAATGTATGTATTGCGTATCTTTCCCTTATGGAAGTGTGTTGGGGCAATTCTTTGGTACCTATTCTCAGCCTTTTGTGAATAATCAGACTCTAACTTATTTTAGTCTATAATCTTGTGGTCATTAGTATTAATATTGGCTCATTCCTCAGCAAAAAAAAAAAAAAAAAAAGATTCAGAAAGGTTTTGCATTTAAGACTAATTGTTTTGTGCAGCACCTGTGACTCAATGGGTAGGGCGCTGGCCCCATATACTGAGGGTGATGGGTTCGAATCCAGCCTCAGCTAAACTGCAACAAAAAAATAGCTGTGCGTTGTGGCAGGTGCCAATACTCCCAGCTACTCAGGAGGCTGAGGCAAGAGAATTGCTTAAGCCCGGGAGTTGGAGGTTACTATGAGCTGTGACGCCATGGCATTCTACCAAGGGTGATAAAGTGAGATTCTGTTTCTTAAAAACAAAACAAAACAAAAAAAAACTGTTTTATAGAACCAGTTGTTAGCATTAGCCCTAAAAATCTAGGGAGGAACATAAGGATTTCCCTAAAATCACAGGATTCATTTCATCTTCAGTTAGGAAAAATAAGTAGCAATGTTATCTTAAAGGTCACCTTCAGGCTCTGTAAATGAGAGCAAAAATGATTAATTTTTAATGCTGTTTTCTTAGAATAGTAAAGTAACTATATCAAAAGCTGGCCATTGGAGCTTGCCTGCTCTTTTTCTGTGTTTTTTCCCCTCATTTCCACTGTGAAGTCTCTCCTTTATTCATTTCAGTATATGTAGAACAATATATTATTCTGTCAAGGCTTGCTGTTTATAAAATGTTTTTCCTGTCTGGTAAACATTGTGTGGTGTACATCACCTTATAAAACAGTTGAAATGTTTTTTCAGTACCTTTCTATTTACTAGATTGATTCCTATCCCCATTTAAAAAGTATGTTAAAAGCCTTGTTCTCCCGGCTCTTATTGTATTCAATGTGGTTGAGGTCATTAAACATAAAAAAATTGAGGGGGAGAGTGTTTTATTGGCTTACAACACATAGATCACAGTAGGAATAGAAGTTCTACTATGCTGTTTTCCAGTTCATACTCTCCCTCTTGTCTTTCCCCTTAAGTATCCTGGCTTCTAAGAATACTTTTTCCTGTATTTGTATAAATCTTAAAGTCACTGATGACCTCACAGGTCATCTTAGAATCTTATTAACATTCTTGATAGATGCTCCAGCAATTACTTGAACATTTAAAAGGCAATTTATTCCATTTTGCAGCGGCTGTGATTGTGTAGTAATAATCATTCAAAGCTTGCCCTCCAGAAGCTGATTCATGGGGTGCCTACAGCACTCTCAAGATCTCTGTACAAGGTGTGGTTAGCATCATTCATGGTGGCTGCCCAGTTCACAGTGACTCTCCTCCCTTCTTTGGAAAGTGTCCATCCATCTACAACTAATTAGAACTAGGAAAGCTTTTGGCCAAAGATAGGTTCATCATATTTTGCAGAGAATCTAAAATTTTAAAGTGAGAAAAATTGACTGAGAGGGTTTAGACTTTTTCTAAAATTCTTTGAGGCATTTTGCTATCCTCCTAATAAAATTCCCCTTTTGCTCAAAGTGGCCTAAGTTGGTTTCTGAATCAATGGTAACATAACTGCAGGAGTAATCTATTTTCGATAGTTGTAGTATCTCAGTTTCCTTATTCTCTCTCCTTTAGCCGCCTCTAAAATTGTCATTCTTGGGTGGCACCTGTGGCTTAAGGAGTAGGGCACTAGCCCCATATACCAGGAGTGGCAGGTTCAAGCCTAGCCGCAGCCAAAACTGCAAAAAAAGCTAAAATTGTCATTCGCCTAGTTCTCTTTCTATACCAAATACTTTCTAGAATCTGCTTTGCTGTTTATTGAATGTTCCTGGGAACTGGACAGAGTTCCTCTCAAATCAAGCATATTATGATAGTTCAGGTATAGTGTGAGGAGGTACAGTTATATAATGGAAACTAAGCCTGTGAGTTGAGACCTGATTTTGTTCTGGTTCTGTGTTTAATTTGCTTAAGACCCTGGGTTGTTGTCTTTTGGCCTCCGTTTTTCCTTCTGTAAAATGAACAGATGAGATCAGCTGTTTTTTCAAAACAGTTGTTTGTATGTTACATTGTATGGTTACTTAGAGAGTAGTGCAGAGGAACAATTGGGACTATAAACCTCTTTTATTTCAGATATATTTCTAGGAATTTTGCCAAAGACTATATTGACTTTATTTTTAGATACTCCTTGCCTGAATTCTTAGTTAAAATGCCAGCTTACTTCGATTAGTGCTTATACAGATGAGCTTTTGAACAGTTCAAGAACTTTATACTTTATTTTTGTTTTTATATTATATTCATCTAATAAAGCTTCATACTTCTAAATTGTTAGCCTGGGCCTCCACTCCAGTGACTCTTGTTGTATTTTGCCTGACCAATTTAATGCACACATCTGTAAAGCAACAACATGATATGGGAAGCACTGGACATGATATCAGAGTTGTCTTAAAGTTCTTGACTACTACTTTCAAGCATTGTGGCTCTGGACAAATCATGTAACCTGTTTAAGCCTGTCTCTCTCTCTCTGTCTCTCAATAAAATGTGAGTAATAACTTCCATGCCTTCCTCAAAGGCCTCTTAGAATTGTCAAATGAAATGTATGTGAAACTCCTCAGTGAACTTAGTATATTGGCCATCAGCCATATAAGTGTTAAATGGGCTCCTTTGCCTGACGTTCTTCTGTGACCGCATGGTCCTGTAATCTGAGTTTACTTAATGGGTTGGACAGATATGCGTTAGATATTGGGCTTTATGGCCCTTATTTTTACTTGCTAATCTTTGAAAATGTAGTAGTCTCTGGGTAAGTAGCTACTTAGTTCATTTCTGAACAGATGACGGGTCTCTGGTACTGCATTCTGTCCCCTGCTTTGATCCTGAGGATCTATTCAGCGTGTCTCATTAAGGGAGTAGTTTTGAGTAAGTAGCCTTTGTCCGACAGGGCATCTTTCCTGGACTTTAAGGGTCCTTGGAGGCAGTTTTACAGTTGTGTCTTGTCCATTGTGACCCTAATGTTCTTTTGAACCAGGTGGTGGAGGTAACAGTACATCAAAGCTAGAATTCTCAAGTGACCCAGCATCACTTTTTGTATGTGCATTGTCGGAACAGCTGCTCAGGAGCCACTGTGGTAATTGGTGGTACGAAATTGATGACACTTGTTGCTTTTTGAGGACATAGGTAGCAGTGATAGCTGTCTGCCTTCTTCTGATTTGAGTGAAAACTTAGTGCTTTATCCTTCAGCCTCAGAATTCTGTCATTTGACTGGAAAGTGAAATTCAACCATCAGTTTAATCCATGTTTCTGAAATAATTTTCTTCCAATGAAGTTTTAGTGTGATTCATCAGCAAGGCAGTTCTGCCCTCTGATAGGACCCTTTTAAGGAACCTAAACTGAGTTCTTCAACTTTGTTATGTTCACCAAACTAAATTATAAGTGGTTCTGAAGAATGAGCCAAGTGTTTCTATTGTGACCTCTTGGACAAGGGAAATTGATCCTTTATACATGACCTAGTACTTACAGACTTTAAGAAATCTAATCTGTAAAGAGGTATTATGTCACTGTCATTGCCAGACTAAGATGGTTTGGGCATCTTAATTTTGTTTTGGATTTGTATGTTGCCCTGCCTTGAAGATCTCAGAGATTTAAATGAATTATGAGGAACATCATCTTACCCGTGGTCAGTAACTTATCTGGACACAACTTTGGAGCTTCTAACTGAGACGAGACTTTTGGCCTTTTTAAGGCTAAAGTGAGGGGGTTGAAAGTGGAAGACAGACAGATATGGAAAGGATATTAATTGTGGATTTTGTGAACTTGCGTAATAGGCTTATCTTGGTGAAAATATCGATCGGTACAATTGAAGTCATATTGTCTTCTACTTTTCCTGTGGTGGGATTAACTATGCTTTTGTTTGTCATCTCAATTGTAGGTGTGTTCATCCTCGAGGAGGTGTGATTCAAAGCGTTTCTTCATGGAAGCATGGCCCGGGCACGCAGTATGTTAGCACCCGGCAAACACAGTCATGGACTGCTGTGACTCCCCAGCAAACGTGGGCTTCACCAGCAGAAGTTGTTGACCTTACCTTGGATGAGGATAGCAGACGTAAATACCTACTGTAATACAATGTCACTGTGTTTCCTCTGCACTGTTCCCTTCTACTTCCTCTCCTATTTGTGACATGGAAGTTCATTGTCATAGCTTCAGCTTCAGAAGCTGTTTGTGGCATTTGTAGAATTGAAACTCATGGAAAATCCCCCCCTACACCTCCCCCCGCCCCCTTAATTAAAAGAAGTCACTTAGGAACATAACTTACCACAGAGAAAAGAATTTCTTCTTTCCCTCAGTAGGAATATGAGAATGATGAATTTCATTAGATAGTTTTATTTTACTTGGTAATTTTTAGCCTTAGGAAACTCCGCTTTCCTTTTAGAATCATATTTTAGTTACCAGGTAAAATGGATTTTCAGTTTTTGAATTTTGTATTTATTTTTCTGTATAATAAAATTAATACCTAGACTTGACCACTATCTGCCCACTGCATTGGCACTCCCATCTTAGGGCATTCGCACACGTATCATTCAGGTCCCTATTGGTACCTAGTAGGGCATGTGCATTTAAAAACCTGTCAAAAATAGACAAAAGTATGTAAAAGTATTTTTTCTTTTAGCTTATGTCTTTTGCCTTCTTTCCTTCTTCCTGGTTGTCTTCCCACAACACGAATAATTGACATGCCCTTTTGTGTTTTAAATACTACTAAGGTGACTTAGTTGGTCTCCTTGTTGCAATAATTCTTAGCTCTTTGCAAAATATCTCTTTTGGGGCAGAAGCATTTTGGGTAGACACCTACCATGAAGTTTTCTGGCATCTGAAGAGAGTATTGAGAGATCAGCGGGGAAATCTCTCTCCCTCAACTTTTGTTCTCAAGTAACGGGAACATAGTAACCTTTTTCCTAGGAAGAATAGAGAAAGTTGTATGGCTTCTAAGGCTTCAGGCACTTGCAAATCTGAGAGAAAAGTGCCTTTTTCATAGCTGATCTCTCTATAAAGGGTATATAACAACTATATTTAACACTTGAGCTGAATTGGACCTAATGCTGTATTTGGATATTTTTCTTCTATCCTTCTAAAAAAATACGATTATAAAAATAAACCATAAGAAATCAGATGCAAAGCACATAAGTCTGATAATTAAGGAATAGCAAAGGGTAGTAGGAGATTCAGGGAATTCAGGAAATGCCAGCATTGGAGTTTTGTGGCATTAGTTACTACCTTTTTTCTTATAACATGTTGTAGTTACTAGTGAATTACTTTAAAAGCAATAACTAGAGTTAGAACACTATGTATTGTACACAGGGGGGAGTGAAGTAATTTTGGCTTAGAAGGCCTCCCTTTTTGTTTGCTTTTTTTGTTTTTGTTTCCATTGTTACTGTTGCTATGGCCCTTGCCACTCTCTCCAAATGCCTTAGTGGCTCTTATAAGAATATAAGAGCTACCATTGGCAGTTTTCATTTAGCAAACACACATTTACCAAGTGCCTGCTCTGCGTAAGGCACTGGGAAGGGGCAGGTGCTGTGGGGTCTGCTGAGATGAACGAGACACACCCTGCATGCGC